GGGGGGGGGGGGGGGGGGGGGCGACATCCTCATATATTTCCTGTCCAATGTCGAAACTTCGCGACTATTTAACCACGCTATCTCAGACAAAACGGGCACAGTTCCCATCATGAGTTGCCTAAACCGATACAGCATCGGCAACACGCAGCACTTGCGAGGAAAAGAAGCATATCCCAGCCTCAAAATACACTCTTGTCACATTCTTAAGGCCGATCACCTTGACGAGCGAGTGCCTCGTGCATAATGCACCGTAATCTGCGGACGGACATGCCTACAAGCCAACCTGGAGCTTGGCCCCGAAACAACAAAAAACGGATTGAGGCACCAAAAGAGAACGATTCCGGCTGTGTTACGTCGTACTTCGCATGGCCACCCTTCTTTAAAAGAGGGAACGGAAGTCACACCTCAATTTTCAACAGGAAGAGGCTGGTATCCAGAAACACTCCAAAAACGCAAAGCCACTCGAAACACAACCCTGTTCCCCTTCACACCAGCAGAGTTTTGCAAACGTGATTGTGTGCAGTTGCTTCTAGCAGTATCAAAAGCGCGCTACACAACGCCTGCATGCATACCCTCTTGTTGTTCGACACACACAGCACTGTGCCAATATTACATGCCCTCCTTGGGTTTGACAGCCAGCTCAACCCCCTAAGCACTAATTCACCGGGTCGATGGTGATGTGGCCCTCCCCGCTCTTGACGAAGAATGAGAAGTCGAACAAGTTTTCCACCGTCTGGGTAAAAGCCGACAGGTAGCAAGACGGTACGGGTGGGGGGGCGTGGAACATATTTAGTAGCGCTCGACTCTTTGAAAATCGATTGACTAGATTGACCAAGGACACCTCACGTCCTTCTCGAGACAACGGGAGAGGGGGGGGGGACATGCTTGCCGTGGAATTTCGACCACAGATCTCGTACACACCCAGAACATCCGGTTCAGGACTGAACACAAAATTGTCTTGCCTCCGAGTGCGTTGGTTTGAATGAGATGCTACACCTCCACGGCAGATCACGTCCTCAACAAAAATAAAAGTTGCCCACCACACCGGGGCAAGGCTTTTTCATGACACGCGGAGCGAAATTATATTCACCGGCATGTGGTAGCCAAAGCCAGATCGTGCAGTCCAACTGCAGGCATGCTCGAAACCTTCCAAGAAGGAAACCATGTTGTCAACCACAAAAACACTGGGTTCCCGCTCCTTCATTCAAGGTCCCCCAATACATCCAATTCAGACGCCGCTTTTCTTGGTCAGTTGACGGTTCGAAAGGGGTCGACACAAACACACACATACAAGTTTCTCTTCTGTTATTGCTACGGTATGTGTTGATTCGGAGGAAAGCGTCGACTCCCCCATGACGCTCGGTCACAGGGTCCCAGATCGTGGCCTACAGAAGCATGTGTGTTTTCAACCGCACTAAGACTGACGTATTTTCATCGGTAAGCAGGTTGGCGCGGTCGACGCTAATAAATAAGACACACATACACACACGTGCATTTTCTTCGTTCGCCACCGTTTCTGTCTTTGGCCCGGAGAGCAGAGTAGCCCTCCCCATAACCCCCCCTCAAGGGTTCGTCCCAGATCATCACAGTCTTTGGATGCATACTTCTGTTTTCAGTCGCACTGAGACTGGATGACGTGTTTTCGTTGTTCAGCCGACATTAGTTAGCGCGATCGATGCGAAAAACAAAGAAACACACAGACCTGCGTGAAGGATTTGGGGTTGATGAGAGTCTCGAACATGTCCTTCTTGGACCCCGCGTCCTCCTTCTGTCTCTCGTGCGCCTATCGCACACACACGCTCCCCAACAAGAGCGGAAGGAAGAAAAGCAGTGCGGGCTTGTTGAGCGTAAGTTGGGGTGATGGAGATCAAACTCTGTCCCGGACTCTAGCGCTTCACGATTTCGTTCACCTCTCAACCGCTGCCATCATTGCTTGTGAAAAAAAAAGGGGGGATCTATCACGCTATGCATGAAATAGCTCAAAACAACACAAACTTTTTACCAAAGTCTGAGCAACTGGGCCAATTTTTTTCCTCATTTCTCAACCTCAACTTGCTCACTGGTCCTATTTGATGGAAGACGTTTTGTTCTTTCTTTCCTCACCCTCATCTTGGCGATGCGCATCTGTGTCTGGTCCTTGTTCTGCTTGGCCTTCTTGCTGCCCTTCATCTCCATCATCGGAGTAATCTCCTCGGCGTCGTCCTGTACACCAGTTATTGATAACGTAAATCACAAAGCTTAACAGGCAAAAGATGAAACTTGACAAGCAAAAGATCAAAATTAACAAGCAAAGGACGAACCTTCATAAGCAAAAGATGAAACATGACAAGCAAGAGATGAAACGCTGAGCATTAGGTGGGACTCTGTGCATGGCCTCAGCTGGCACCACTTATAAAATTCAGTGAATAGCCTTAAACAGAATAAGCCAAGTATCCAGCCGGTTGTTCTTGCACCACGGTTAACAAACAAAGCACATCCCCTTTTGAGAATGGCTACATCTCTGACGGTGTCTCTCTGTGTACGTATATTTCAAAAAAGGTGGGACTCTCTGTTACCGAAACAAGGCACCCGGTGGCTGGCAATCTTCACGGAATCGTCGCGGGTGGAACCGTGCGACCGGCGGGCTTGTGTTGCGGGAATCAAACCGTGCGCGGCGCGTATAGGAGTGACCAAATTGCCACGCTGTACATACGCGCACCATCCACGCACCATGTAGTCTGTGTTATCTATCATCTATTGTGTCTGCGACCACATGCCGTGCAGATTGTGTCGAGCACGCTGTCTTTTCCCGAGAGGCCCCATGAACAACAACAACGACCACAGCGCACAAACAGATAGAACTTCTGTGCTACACCACACAACTTCTAGGGGCATCGCCTTGCACTCGGGTTCTTCCGTCTCATCTTGAGTACATAACTTGTATCGACTCCTCCAGGTGTGGCAAGAGACAAGCACACTCACGATGTGCTTCTCCCTCCTTTGGGCAGCCTTCCTCTCCTTCGCCGGCTTGTCCAGGGGACCCATCATGAACCCGCCCCCCTCGGGGGCGGCGAGGAACACCATCGAGACGTTGCTCTACAAGATCGAGAAAAAAAAAAAGTAGAGAAAAACATACAGATAGATGAACAAGACGGCCTGTTACCCGCAGGGGAGGCATCACTGCTGTGTGCTGCTTGGGAAATCGTGGAAACACAGGTAGCCGCCTTCGCTGACGCTATGGATTCATCGCTAACCTATCCTAAACTTTTTTCTAAGTGTGGATTCGTTGGGTCATTGAAAGAAAAAAAACAGCAACGGCAATCAGAATCTACGTAGCAGTGTACGCCTCCGACAGGGAGGAAGCAAAGAACTTGGATGTGCATGAGCATGGACAAATGGCGAGGTGGTTGCTGTGTGGGAAACCGCACGATTAAAAAAAAAACAAGCGGCATAGTACACAGCAGTACCCAGCACCACATGCACCACCAAAAAACAGACACACCGTTCACACGAACGTACCCATACGACAGAGGAACGAAACAGGAGCCAAACCAACACATCGAGTACACAGGGCTAGTCGTGGAGAAATCGCCATGCCGCACACGCCAACAGGACGACGCCACAACACACAAACAAACTCCGAGAGAATGTGGGCACGAAGACGGTAAAAAAATCTTGATAAAAAAAAAAAACTCTCTCTCTGCCTCTGTTCTTCTTCTCACCCCCCACTTTGCCCAGTTGAACGTTTGCACTCCCTGTTCGTCGTCTCCTTTCGTCCTGCCAAAGTGCTTCTTGATGCTGTCAAGGAACGCGTCTCCGTCGATGCTGCACACAAGAGACAACAGCGAACCAACAGACCACAGCAGTCGTGTCGAGCGCCTCCACTCTCGTGCAACTGCTGTAATATTGAATCATAAAAAAGCACACCTAGACCCAGTCGCCCCGGTAGTCCTGTCGGTATCCTGGAGAGAACTTCTCAATGGTGGTCAAGGTCAGGGGTTCGAATCCCGGCGTAAGCGAAACCGTTCTTGCAAAGTGAGTTTTTTTCTCGCTTCCGGTCCCGGCATGGGTGGAAAGCGCTGGTTCGTGTGTACACAGAGGGAAGAGAGTGCTGCACTCTTTTCGCATAAGAAATCGAAGGCAAAGTTTACACCGCAGGAGGGGTGGGTAGGGGGAACCCTTCTGTGTGAACACGGGTTGGGGTAAATGGCACATATGCTATGAGCGCTGATTTGAAGAAATGCAGACGAAAACAAACAAACAACATATTGGAGGGGGGTAGCATCAAAAACGTCATGTCAGATCCGCGTATCACCGAGCACGGCAGAGAATGGCAATGGCGGGGTGGGGCGGGATGAACGCCTTCAGAGTCTTTCCAGCCCGAGAGGGGAGCACTCGAGGCGAACCCGATAAACCAATCGCATTGCAGGCATAGTCCCCTCCCCTCCCTCCCTCCTTCTCTCTCTTTCTCTCTCTTTTTCTCTCTCTCTCTCTCTCTCTCTCTCTCTCTCTCTCTCTCTCTCTCTCTC